AGCTTTATCTTTGGACCAACTTGTTTATCTGGTATTATCTCGGAGTGTGAAAGATTTGAAGGAATACTTGGTGCTAAAGTAGTCAATAAATGGAAGGTGATGGTTATTATTTAAACTACACTGAAATAAACTTGACCTTTGGCAGGAAAAAATGTACAAATTAGATGATGCATTTTTACCTGTTCACTTAAACTCACTAAAACTGTAGATGGCAGTTAACTCATTATACTAATAATTATGATAGCTTAACTCTGATAAACCTGCAAGATGTACATGTGCAGTATATTCCAGTCTCATTAAAAAAAAGCTGTGTTTTTTTGGAAAAAATGTTTCTTACAACCTACACTGTTCAGTTTTAGCTGCTTACCATCTTCCAATGTCTGCCCAACCGTTACAGAACTTTTTGGTCCCTCACCATGAGATCCAATGGCCAAAACTTGAAATTCATACTTGGTATACTTGTTAAGATTAGCAAAATCTTTAGTTAGTGTTGCAGCTCCACTAACAGACTCCATGACTGAATTGTCCACTGAGCCCTTCTGTCTGTAAAACAACTTATATCCTGTTATTGTTCCATGTCTGGCATATTCTGGCAGTGATGTCCATGATGCTCTTATACTAGTAGATGAGGTTGCAGTCACACTGAAGTTACCTGGAGCTTGTGATGGAACTGGATTGTTGAATAAAAATGATTTTAAGGTATTTTAATTCTAAAGTTTCACAATGGTCATGTGCCTATAAAGGAACTGAATTGGTCAACACAGATGAAAGTTGTTTTAAAATATTGATGAAGTGTTATTTCATTGCTATTACAGTGGTTGTGGCCTCCCTAAAACTTTGCAACTCAGAACTTCAAGTTCTTTCAAGCCTCAGTGACTTCATTCATTCCCAATGGATTAAATGAGTGCTATTTAGTAAATGAGTTAAAGTAGTAATCTGATTTACTTAAATTCAAGGAATAACTTATAAATGTGATTATATACACAGAACATGTATATATATCACTCAAATATATACCAGTTGTGCAATGCTGAGTAGTATACAATGGAATATTCTACGAGTCACTGGTATTTTGTCATTACCTGAACATTAACATTGAGGGAACAGCACTTGAAATATACTAGAAATGGTATCATGTGCTTGATTTTGGCAGTAATAAGATCACAGCACACAATAAGAGGAATGGGCACAATAAAATCAAATGTACATTGAACTCCTGAATTCTGATTGGCTATATTTTCTACAGCATGGTATCAGCATAGGATATCAGATTTTGTATAAAATTTTTGAGTAAGGTAAGTCATAATATTCCCTTCCACTTTTTTGCCACACTTGTAGGATTTCAATGATAAGGTACGGAGAAAATAGAATTGGTACTTGTAGATAGGAGAACTCCATAAACTTCTACTCTCAAAGATTTATAACCATGATAATCTGTTGGCACAAAACGGATGATCCTTGCCAAAGTATACTCCCTCAGACCATGTTTTACTATGTCACTTCTCCCAGAGTTTCCATTAAAGACCTAAAATATCAAAGGTTGCAAAAAAGCAATAAGTTATGCTTTCTGCAAAAGCAAGTCATATGTGTCAAAGTAAATAAAATTGAAAAGTGATAGACATGGACATGTTTATTCACTTCTGCAACACCACACTACTACCTACACCTGTGCACACTTTTTTTTAACCTGCTTTTTGCATACAGAATGAGCTGTACTGTAAGTACAAAAAAATTTGAACTTTCCATGCACAAGTTACTGCAGACTTTTCCTTGGCCTTGAATATCAGCAAGCCTACATCCAACCAATAAAAATTTAGCTACACCATCACAGAAACAGTGTTGAAAGAGGATAATCTACAGCTGTAGCTCTAACAAAAATAGTTTTAATCACGAAATGAGTCAATTCAGAGGTTATCAAACACTGGTCTACATTACACCTTCAGAAAAATAAGCATTTCAAAGCCTGAAAGGCCTGACCTATAAAGCTCGAGATTATTTCAGTTTTTTCACTCATTTCCACCACTACTTGACCTGGTAATAAAACTGGTTCAAATTTACACATACTAAAATGCTCTCTCATAATTATCCATTAGTCTTCTGTTTTACATAAAATTAGGCTTGACTAAGTGTATTTCTATGTAAGTACATGAACAAAATATATGAAAAAAAATGCAACCAAGTTAAGCACGATATTTCAATTAGATCAAACTGACCTTCTCAGCGTTGTTTTCTCTATAAATGTTAAAGGTGATACCATTCAATGATAACTGAATCTTGTACTTTGTTATCCACTCATCACCACCATTAGCTCCTTGGGTAGCTACAGCACAGATAA